TAAGTAGGGAAGCAGAGGGCCAACAGAGGAAACGAGGGGGCTCAACTAGGAAAGCCTCCAGGTAAAAATAAGAAACTGATGTATTTAAGTGTTTGGAAAAATTACTGATAGGTGTTTGGCAGATCTATTGGAGCATTTGGAAAAAATAAAGATAGATGCATAGAAAACCAAGCAGATGAAAAATTAAAATACTTATCCTATTGAAGGGTGAAAGGGGTAAGAGGAAGGGAACACAAACATGTATACTATTTGGCTCAGCAGGAACATTTTTTTAAATTTTTTTTTAAGATTTTATTTTTAAGTCATCTCTACACACAACGTGATCTTGAACCCACGACCCCAAGATCAAGAGTCGTGAGCTCCACCAACTGAGCCAGCCAGGCACCCCAACAGGGAACAACATTTAAATCTACACTGTAAACTTATAAATATATAAACATATAAATGCTGACTGATGATTTATCAAAAAATTTGTGTTGTAATCATACTGGGAGGATGGGGAAAAGGGAAAGAGGGGACATGCGAGAGTGCTACATCCTCAACCATCAAAACATAAAGGAAAGGGGCGCCTGGGTGGCTCAGTCGGTCAAGCGACTGCCTTCAGCTCAGGTCATGATCCTGGAGTCACAGGATCGAATCCCGCATCAGGCTCCCTGCTCGGCAGGGAGTCTGCTTCCCCCTCTGACCCTCCCCCCTCTCATGCTCATTGTCTCTCTCAAATAAATAAATAAAATCTTTAAAAAAAAAAAACATAAAGGAAAGGGGTGCCTGGGTGGCTCAGTCGGTCAAGCGACTGCCTTCAGCTCAGGTCATGATCCTCGAGTCCCGGGATCGAGTCCCACATCGGGCTCCCTGCTCGGCAGGGAGTCTGCTTCACCCTCTTCCCTCTTGTGCTCTCTCTCATTTTCTCTCTCTCAAATAAATAAAATCTTTAAAAAAAAAAAAAACATAAAGGAAAGGGGTACCTTGGTGTTAAGCGTCTGCCTTCGGCTCAGGTCATGATCTCAGGGTCCTGGGATCAAACCCCACAGATGGAGCCCCGGCTCAGGCTCCCTGCTCAGCGGGGAGTCTGCTTCTCCCTCTCCCTCCTCCCCTCCCCCCACTTCGTGCTCTCCCTTTCTCTCTCTCCCTCAAATAAACAAATAAAATCTTTTTAAAAAAAACATAATGATTGATAAATAAAGAGTACAAGTATATTACTTAGAAATATGTAGACAAATATCAGAAGAAACAGTTAAGGGTTAGGAATGATTTTCTCCAGGGAGTCAGACTGAGGGAAAAGAGGGGTGAGATCAGGAACAGCTGTTTCCATTTTCTCTCAGTGTTGGCTGATAGTTTAACTCCGTATATGAACGACTTTAATAAAAATTTAAAAAGCAGGTTAAAGAATAAATGGAAATGCGGAAGTGGAGGCAGAAAAGGTCAAATGTTCTGTCCGTGGCTTAACCGGCAGCCCCTATAGAGGACTGCGCAGCTGAGGGAGGAATTGTGCTCAGATGGAACAGTCCAGAGCACATTTATATCCTGTGTGCAAGTAGCAGATAAAAAGGAGAAACTGAAACAGCTGAGGATGAGAACATAACCAATCATGAGACCCTGGAGGATGGAGGAGGAGGAAGGAGGGCAACACTGAACTTCATCCAGGTTGGGGAAATTTTGGAACTGTATGTTCCTGTTGACTGGGAAGCCCCTCTGTGCCCAGCTTGTTACCTCCTCCTCTCTCTCTGCCCTCCAGCCTCCCACCTAAGTGCCTTCTTATCTAATGTCCCTGGGGCTTTTCCGATCAGGAAATTCTCGTGCTTTCCTCAGTGTTCCAAATCTCTGAGGGAATGAGAAATTCAAATCTTTGTACATCCTATATTCTTGGACATGTTTTCATTTCCCTGAAGCTACACTCTTTCCACACTACACATCAAAGCCATCCCTTCCTTTCTTTCTTGAAGACGTTCAAGCAAGACATCCAGTAAGACCTACCCTTAATGAATACACGAACATCTCTAGAGTCTAGTTGCCACCCATTCACTTGCCCTCGTTGAAAACATAATAAAAATGCCAGTAGAAACCGAAGGACTCTGTTTAAGCAAGTGACCTAGACAGGAAGGTCGTTTTCAAGAAAGGATAAACATCCTTAGGGTCACGTCCCATACAGGAACACTTCTCCTACCACGCATGCTAAATGGCCACCACCATACTGTGCTGAAATAGTCAACCCATGAAAATTACTCGCTGGAGGGCAAGCCCAGGGCCTCTATACCCGTACAGATTGTGCCCTGCGCACCCGCAGGGGGAGCCATCCCATTGAAATCTATGGAAATGGCCCTCCCTCCTCTGCCTTGGGTGGGACCTGAGCAATAGCTGTACACAAGCAGCCTTGGTGAGCCCTTTTACTGCACGATGCTATGTTCCAGGACAGGGAAAAGACTCTAAGCTTTAAATCCCATTCACTCTTATAAAAGCACATTAAGCTTCATCACAAAAACATTATCCTCACGAATAGAAGCTGGAGTTGGAGTGCATTTAATCCTCCACTTCCTATCCCCAGTGGATTTCATTTCTAATATGTGGTTTAAACCAAAGCTATCCAATAAATGTAGAGTTGGTTCTAAAATTACAAAGAAAAACTGCCATGGCTGCTCTTTACCATTTCTGAAAAGTGAATATGTGTTGTTCTGCCAAGTTTTCTTAGCAGTTGTACTTTGTAGGTGGCTCTCTTCCAGCATCCAGATGTATAAACATCCTGTACACGCACTGTTCAGCCCCTCGGAGCACTCTCCCTGCAGATGGTATGGACTTCCCGGCAGAAACTACATAAGCATGATGTGAGCGGGGAACAGCAAAAGACAGCAGCGGTGACCACAGATTATGATAAAAGTCACTGGAGAATGACAGGTGAGTCAGAAGGAGCACAGTGTCTCATTCTTTTGATACTGTTCACATACAGTATGTTACACCACAGTAGCACTAAATACTCTCAATGCCAAGGAGGCATTTGAAAAACAAGAATGGCTTTGTTTTTCCAAGGGATGGATGTGTACTTTACAAAAGGGGAAAATTTCCTCTTAAAAATAGACAAGTCAGTATTGGAAATGGAAAGATCTCTTGTTTACACTTGTTCAAAATCACATTTTATAAAAGCTTTTTTCTCAGTCTCTCTCCTTCTACCTTGAAATCCCACTATTATAGCATGTTTCCTACAGTTATTCAACATCTCTTAATACATATGCCGAGAACTGATGAGCTGCAGGCAATAGAGACCTGATTAAAAAGAATATGAATTCTGCGAGGCATCCACCACCATCATATACAATTGAAGTCCAAGCTCTACAAGAGCTAGGAAATCCGGTGTGGAAAGAACTCAGAGAAGAACCTCTTTATCACGAAGCTTGATGATTTGATGATAAAAGCTAAATCATATATCTTAAAAAAAAAAGAACAACTATCTTTCCCCAAATATCAGAGGCAGGGACTATCCAAATAATCTTGGAATTCTCACAATTCAGAAGTGGAAAAATAACAACCTGTAACTTTGTAGTTATTGTATTTTTATAAAGTTCACTCAATTGGCTTAAGAATTTTGACAAAGGCGCTGCCTACTCGAGATCTCAGATGCTAAGCTGCAGGTTATTAGCCTTGAGCTCATTTGTGGTTATTTGACCAGGAAGCACAATGTCCACTTTAATAACATGGTTAATCTCACAAAGACACCTGGCATTTTGCATTCACAGTTTCATGCTTATTAAAACATGCTTGAAATGAATGAAAATGATACAAATATAAGTAAAACTGACAGGAATAATAATTCACTTCACCACACCACACACACACACACACACACACACACAGAAAAAAGACTCACACACACACTCATGAACTAGTTCTATATTTCCAAGTAAAGTCCACACTCAACTGAGGAAAATATTTGAATTCAATTAAGCTATGCATGATGTCATTTTTTTTCTTGGCATTAATGTATCACAATTACTTTCTTCTATTTTCTATCCATTACAACCTCGGTTGAGGTTGTAATGGATAGAAGGGCCATTTGGCAGCTCTATTCAAATGGCTCCATAATTTAAATCAATTGCACACTTGAATAGAGCATGAGTTTGACATTAATGGTTCTAAAATTGTTGTCCATAAAATTCTGGGAATGTTTTGGAGATGGCCAAAACCCCTATAATACACACAGACACACACAAATAAGTAAAACTCTGTTTTTAGGAATCCATATTTCATTTCCATTTTATTTCACATTCAAATTATTTCCTGAAATCATCCCAGAGGCTTTTGTTTTTGCAAAATTTTAAGGTCCAGGCCTTGTGATAACTAGGAGATGTTTTTTTTCAGCACATGAAGCAAATTTGGGATTTAATAGAGGCAAATGACGACTGTTAAGCTATTTCCTATTTCATAATAGAATTTCTGAAAAATCAATTCTTGTGGAACAAGGCCTATTAGATTTGATTTACAATTAGGAAATATGGGATCCGGCTCTGGAGAGGATGAGATCCAGCTCCCATATCTTACTGACATCAAGAGACCGATGCTCAGGCGGGTTAACCGACGGGCCCACTTTCTAGAAGCAATAATGGGACTAGAAGTCAGCCCTGCCTCAGGCCCGGCATCCTCAACAAAGCAGCCAGCAAGCAGCAGTTCTGCTAGCTCGTTCTTTTCTCTGGCATTGAAACACATTTACAAAATAGGAAGGACACATGGCTATTAGTGGATTACTTTATAAACAAGATATTTAAAACGGAAGTTAGTGCACATAAGGAGTTGGCACAAACAGACGAAGGTCGGTGTTCATGGCAGCAGGAGCATGGGCACGACATACCCCCTCAGCCACTGCCCTCAGCCCTTCCCCCCTCCGAGAGAGGTAGCGCTGCCGGCTGCAGATTTCTTCAGCTCTATTTTCATAGACTGAGTCTCAGCTCGAGGCTCGAATTTGGTCAGATTTCCTGCTCCTGGGGCTGCCACTACTGGCTTTCCTGCTTTCATACCTTTTGACATAGGAATGCGGGTGGGGGTAGGTCGCTGGGATGACCCGTCTTGTCCTGACTGTAAGAGAGAAAAGAGACAGACACAAGGGAGATGTCGGTGAGTTTCCGCCCGGATCTGTCATCAACCTGAACATCAGCAGGACGGGAATGCCCACGGATGAGCCCTCCCCAGATAACACTGTTAGGAACTTGGAGTTGGGATCTCATCCACGCTGACTGCCTCCTCTTCCTCCTCTTCCCTCCTCCTCTACACCAGACCTCCTTCTCTTTTCAAGCCCCGACCTGCTTCCTCTACCCTTCCTGAAGTGACCTTAACCCCTATTTCACAGAGAAAATACAGCCACCTGGCATCAACTCAGGCAACTTTACTCCCACTGTCCCCCAAATTATCTCTACTTTCTTTAGATGAAGCAGCTCTCCCCTTGCCTCTTAATGATGCCAGACTCGCCTCATTTTTCCCGTCACTGTTGGCCACACACTTCTTCCTAAAGTTCTCCTAAAACTCTCTCGCTGTGATATGTTCTTACTGGAGTCTCACCCATTCGCCTCCTGTCTCTGATGACTCCTATCCAATGTCTTGTTGGCTCCTTGGCCTAGCTTGCCTTTCTTCTAAATGTGGGTGTCACCACGCTCCATCCTCAGCTCTCTTTTCATTTTCCACATTCACCTTGATGATCGCCTCAGTTGTCACCCCATGTGTTGATGAGTCCCAGGACCTCGAGCATCCAGTGATCTTCTGGAATACACATGTACATTTCCAACTACTTGCCAGACATCTCCACTGTCTCTCAGGCACCTCAAATATAAATGCCCCCAACATGACTTATCTTCTCCCCAAACGGTAGTCCCCCTATGTTTCTCATCCTATCTACCCATACAACCACACCAGAAACCCCAGAGCCACTCTCTACATGCAGATTGTCATGAAATCTTTGATCCTAGCTTCAATACAACTCTGTCCTCATTTTTACTACCACAGTTCAAGCCTACCTCATCTCTAGCCTAGAGAATTGCAACAGTGTCCCCGCCCTCAGTCTTTGTGCCCTCCAATTTATGCTTTAAACTATTTTATAGACAGATGTTTCTAACACATAAATCATGTCGGTCTTCTATCACCGTTCCCCAAATATGGCAGGCTCCTTCACATTGCCATACCTTTGCACAGACTGCTCTCTCTACATACTCCTTCCCTTTTTCTTCTCAAAAAAATCTCTCCTTATCTGTGAAAACTTTCTCCTCTGGGAAGCCTTCTCTGGTGGGTTCCTTTGTACACACCTCTATCATAGAACCACTGGAGGGTAGGTTCCAATCGGGTAGGCTCCAATCCTGCCTCTCCTGCTAAGCTGGGTACTGCTGAAGGTCCTCTTTGCAGTCAGCACCAAACCTGGTGCCCGGAGTGTAGCTAAACACTTAATAAATGTTGAATGAATAAATGCACAAATGAACTAGCCTCGCTATTCAATTTCTAAGAGAGGTGTCCTAAACTTTTTGTCATCCTTGACTTTATGGAATCCGATATATCTGAAGTAAGTGGGCCATCCTTTAGGCCTTGTAAATCTTATTTGAAGTCTTGTTTGTATATGGGGTTTAATCAGTAGTCAAAAATGTTACCAAAGAAAATAAAGCTATTTTGATCTGACCCTTAAAATGGGAATAAGATGTTGCAGCAGAAAATCTGCTCTAAGTTACAACTTACACCTCCACCATCTTTTTATAAAAATCGTCAGAGAGAAGTAACCATGCACACCAAACTATGCTCTGTGTTGCTTATAAAGCAATATTATATTGAACCATTTGAAAAGTGTGAACAATTCTGAATGCTATTCAGTTCCTTTGGGCCAATAACGAAAAGCTTTACTAGCAAAGCAATTAGTAATTCACACTTTGAAGTCTGTCTTGAGTCTATGCTGGTGCACAGAAAATTTAAGTAAATTATATTGAGGATGTGGGAGAATAAGCCACAGTTTCTATACTTAAAAATAAGCTTCCTGTCTTTAAGAGTGTCTAATACAAGCTATAGAATTTGTTCAGAGTCTAAGAATCATAATTTCTAGTCTGTTGGTTTAAATTAAAATCTAAATAGGACACATTCTTTTATAATTTAATTTACCATTTTGTCCCAGGCAAATGAAGACTATCACTGGAGGTATTTTTAAAAAACAGAATTTATTTTTAAGCTCTGGTTTTTATACTTCAGACACACTTTTTTGTAATCATTCATTTAGCCTTCCAGTTGGTTATTAAATAAATATTTATCCAGCACTTGCTCTCTGCAAGATATTATTAATAAAATGTAGTGTTTTAATGTAGTGTTTTAACCTAAAAATAGGTTTTAATATTAAAATCTTTTAATCTTATTTTTGGAATAAAATATTTTGGAAAAAAATATGACTATGGCCATACACAACCACATATTGAATATTTTAGGGTGTAAAAATGTAAGCCAGGAGGCAGTTTTCATTCTTCCTGCCTATTGACCATTTCTCTCAGTCTTCATTTTTAAAAGTATTTTAAATATAAAAATTAAACTTTAAACCTGATTATTACCATATGGTGATATTATGAAGAGGCCATCATCGCAAGAATTTTGGGGGCCTTCATAATTTATATGAAAAAAAAGAAAACTTCCCCCAATTAGTTCAATGTATTAAAATATTAGGCCGCTTTTTATTTTCATTTCTTGGTGTAGCTTGTCCACTAGGAAACATCTGCTAGTGGACTCAGGTAGAGCAAGAGGCACGTGCTTTTCTTTCATTTCAGGCCCTGGGTGATTCTCACGACTCACTTCACCCTCCCTCGGCCTACACTTGGGAGTGTCTTCTACTCACCACTGACTGGGTTCCTCGAGTAGATGAAGTTGTGACCGGTGTTATGGTGATGGTGCTCGTCACCTTGCTAGCGCCAGGTCTTGACGAGAGATGGTTCCTAGGAGAGCGAAGGACCGTACCAGTGGAAACCTCCTTTTCAGCTGTCACATTGACAGGTCGGACAGTAATAACTGGACTCGCTCCTTCAGCTGAAGTCCCAGGGGATCGTTTAAACTGAGAACCTAAATGAATGTGAATTTTATTGTCTTCTGTGGTTATGATATTGGCATTGGAGTTATATTTCCGTAGAGGAGTTGGAACAGTCTGTTTTTCTGGGGTGACTTTGAAGACAGTCCTTCCCATGGGCATTTCCTGGGATTCCGGAGAGACTCCCCTCTCAGCTGGTGCTGCCGATGTAGACACTGTCATTATCTGAATGGGGGATGTGGGCCTTTCTGCAAACATACCTCTTCCGCCATCTGGGGTCTTCTCTCTAGAAAATGTAGTAATCGTGACTGGGGACATGGCTCGTTCTGTGCCAAGAGTAGCATCTCCGCTTTTTGGCCTTTGAGACATAACATTTGGTGATGGAATAATGGTTATCCTTGGTTTCTGATTCCCTAAGGTAGGAATGACGGTGGTACTAGAAAAAAATTCTTCAGACGTCGGGCTGGTTATTTCCAAAGTTGCGGTACTATTCTCATGGTCTGGGGTCACTCGAATATGCAGGGGCTGGCCTTGCTTTGGCGAAAGGACCAGCTCTCCTGGGTGCCCTGGACTGGCATCTGTTCGAGGCCCTTTCTCGTGAGTGATTGGGGGCCCATTTTCCCTTTTTCTCATCCATGGAATCCAAGACTTTCTCATAGTGAGCTCGTTGGCTGCTGGAGGATACCTGTCTAGAACCGAGGATCGTTCCACAGGTTTCTTCAATCCCACCTGCCGAAGGTTACTCATGATATGATTTTCTTCTTGAAAGGATTTCCGTATAAATACTGCTGGTGTTTCTTCTTCTGCTGCCTCACTGCTGATAGCATCCGTCTGCACTCCAGTCGACGTCACTGGAATATCCACCATTCTTCTTCCATTCACACTGGGCCTAAGAGCTCGGCTATACCGCTTAGAAAGCTCCAACTCTTTGGTCAGACTGAGGACCTCCTGCCCCATGTTTTTGTTCTTATTTTCTTCTTCCATAAACCTTTGTTGAAGGACAGAATAATCCACTTGGAGTTGAGAAAGCTGATCTTCTTTGTTCATTAATTCGTGGATCTTCTCTTTAAGAGCTTGTACTTCAGCTTTTAGGTCTCGACTTTTGGCTTCTTCTAACCGAAACCTGTGTCTCAGCTCTGCTTCCTGACTCACGGCCTCGCCTTTCTCGATTGCCTTATTCTTGGCAATCTGGTGCTTTATCTCCTCCAGTTGTTGAGAGAGGAAATTGGCCTTGTCCTGCTCAGTTCTAAATTTCTGCTCCAGCTGATCATACTCATCCTCCGTCTTCATCAAATCCCCCTCAACCACCTCCAGCTGTTGAAGGCGTTTCTTCAGTCTCTCAATTTCCAGTGTTAGTTCCTTAATCTTGTTATCTTCTGGGCAGGTGAGCTCAGAACCCTTCCGAGACCTTCCTCTTGTTATTTCTCTTTCCACTTCCTCTATCCCATCAAGTCTCTTCTTTAATAAGTCAACACTGCAGCTTAATTCAGAGGATTTTTCTTCTTCACTTTTCAGTTTACCCATTAACTCATCTCTTTCTTTTGTCAAATTATACACCTTTTCCTCCATTTCAGATTTCAGTTTTAAAAGCTTCTTGCTTTCTTCAATTAGTTTTTCAGTTACATCCATAACCTTTCCTTGTTCCACCTTAAAATTTTTATTGAGTCCATCCACTTTTCTCTCCTCTTGCTTTATTTTTTCCATCATATTTTTCCTTTCATCAACCAGCATCACAGTAAATGACTTCAACTTTGTAAGATCATCTTTTAGACTTAATTCAGCCTTTTCCAATCGACTTTCAGAACATTCCAGTTCTTTAACTCGACTCTTGACCACCTCAAGTTCATTCAACAGGTCTTTGGTTAAGTTCTTCTCTTTCTCCAGATTTAAATGGAGCTGGCCGCACTCAGATTTACTCTTGCTAAATGCTTCCTCCAGTTTCTCCAGTTCAGACATTCTCTTCTGTAACTTCTCCACTTCAAGTTTGAGCTCGCGGCTGTGGTGTTCCTCCTCTTGCAGCTTCTTCCGCAATTCCCGGCACTGGGATTCAGTTTTCGTGATCTCCTCATCTTTACCCTCCATTTCAAGCACACGCTTCCGGAGATTTTCCACTTCTGCCATCAGGCTGGAGTTGCCACATTCCCCTTTGGCAATTTTATCTCTTAATTCCTGAAGTTCTTCCTCTGCCTTTTGGAGGTTTTTGTTGGTCTCTTCCAGCTCCTCAATTCTCTGAGTTAAGCCAACCAGCTTGAGCCTAAGTTGCCTGTTGTGAGACTCTTGATTGGCCAACTTTGAGTTCATCTCTTCATGCTCTTGGGAAAACCTCGAAGCCTTGTGTTCAAAATCCACTTCTAACTTGAGCAGTTTCTGTCTGTCTTCTTTGGATTTGGAAGTGATGGCTTTGAGCTTTTCTTCTTCTTCCCTCAGTTTCTGAGTAAGATCCTGTACTTTCTGGCTCTGGAGGCCAAGTTGCTCAATATGCATTTGCCTTTCATCCACCAGCATGAGTGCAAAGGACTTCAGTTTTACAAGCTCATCTCTTAGTTTATTGAGCCGCTTAGCATTTTCTTTTTCTTTTCGGGCTTGGTAAGCCTTTTCTTGTTCAAGGAGCTTTTTCAACCTAGGAAACAAAATATATTAAAATATTATATGTTATTATTATCTTATATATATATCTCATATATTACATTTATGTATATTTATTGTTATACATATTAAAAGGTTCATCAGCAAGTAGGTTTGTCTTGGATATTAAATAAAAAAATGAAATGCTAACATAATAAATACCTATTAACTACTGCAATATCGAGGCTTAACAGGTAGTCATTAATGAAACTAATCAGAAGTCAGGATACTGGTTACCCTTAGGTAGTGAGTAGTGACCAGAAGTGGGCATGAAGAGGACTAGTTTCCATACTTTTCAGGTACTAGTTTCTGTTTCATGATTTATGTGCTGTTTACATGAGATTGGTCAGCCTATTACATTTCAGTAAGCTAAACACTTGTGATATGAGTGCCTTTCTGCAGATATGTTATACTTCAATAACAACCATTAACACTTAGGTTGTGCAATAATAATGACTATTTAAATAGTGTTTTCTGTATTCCAGGCACTGTGTGTTATGTGTTTATTTTCTCTTCGTAGCAATCCTATGAGACACGTACTGCTACTGTCATCCCGATAAGGAATGTGAGACACGATACTTGCATGGGGCGCACCATCAGGAAGTGGCAGTGTTCACATTCAAACTCAGGCAGTAGGGCTCTGGAATCCTTGCTCCTCAGCTCTGCATCTTATGACTTCAAAAGATCATTTTATTTTAAATGAAAGGGCAGGTGCAGAAAAAAAGAACCTTGGATTTTTTTAATTTTGTAGGCAATGATCACCTTCAGGGACAAAGCAAGACAAGCTTTCTGATAGAAAGTTGATCTACATAAACTAACTTCAGCTAATGAAGAACCGGCACAGAATTTTGTTGCAGTTTTCTGATTTAAATGATTTTTTATTTTTCAAAGATTTTATTTATTTATTTGACAGAGAGAGAGCACACAAGCAGGGGGAGCAGCAGAGGGAGAGGGAGAAGCAGGCTCTCCACTGAGCAGGGAGCCCGATGTGGGACTTGATCCCAGGACCCAGGGATCATGACCTGAGCTGAAGGTGACGCTTAACCGACTGAGCCATGCAGGTGCCCCTAAATGATTTTTTAAATAGAGAACTAGGTAGGGAGGAAATCTGAATTACTATCAACACAAAAATATGGCAAGAATTATTATGTTTCACATGTATGAAATACATTTTCTCTATGGTGTCTATGTATAGCATTAAAAAGTAGGAATATAAATACGCCGGAATAATAATTCACCATCCTTGGTCAGTTAGCTTGTACCAATTTCTTTTATTGAAGGAGAGTTGACACACAAAGTTACATTAGTTTTAGGTGTACAACACAGTAATTCAACAACTCTGTATATTATGCAGTGCTCATCACAAGTGCAGCTACCATCAGTCACCATACAACACTATTACAACCTCATTGACTACATTCCCTATGCTGTACTTTTTATTCTTGTGACTTATTCATTCCATAACCGGAAGTCTGTATCTCCCACTCCCCTTCATAACTTGCACCAATTTTTAATAATTCTTTTCAGTTACCCATTAAAACAGAGTTGAAATAATCATATTCACTTTATGTAGTCTAAGAATATTTTAATATTAATACGTTTGTCAAAGAAGCAACTTATAAACATGTATTTGTTTAAGTATATTTTGTTCTTTCAATATATTTTGCCTTATTTACCTTAGTTATTCTGAATGATTTATTTCAAATTTATGACTAGATTAGCTGATAGCCAAGTAAATAGAAGCTAATAGTCTCACATTGCATTGTGCAAGAAATGACTGGCCATACATCAAAGCTATTTGTGGTGTTAGAGAATTACTATAGAAATGTTCTTGTGATGTCATTAAGAATTTTTTCTGAAATTTAATTTTACAAACATCCCCTTGTGTCTAAGCACCTATTAACTAAATACATAATTTCCAAAACCCATTATGACTTTATTCCTCCAATAGAACAAAAAGATTGTTTTCAAAGCCTATGGATTCACATGAACAATACTGTAATCGTTTCAAGTAGGCTCCACACCCAACGTGGGGCTTGAACTCGCGACCCTAAGATCAAGAGTCACATGCTTTACTGACTGAGCCAGCCAGATGCCCCTGTAATTGTTTCATTAAGTGTGGTTCTTATGTGTGGAAAAGGGCATTTTATTGATCATCTTTTCTTTTTACTTAAGTCAAAACAACTGAAATAATGTCACAGAACTGTAGACTAAGAGAGACTTTAGGGGATATTTTTAAATTCCTTAACCTTAACTAGACTATCTTGAGATGAATTCACTGAAAAATCAGTGCTTTCAACTCCAGGTTTAAATGTTAAAATTTCTAAAGATATTTCTTTAAATACCCTATGCCTCAATGCTATTACAGACAGTGGGCTGGAGTGACTAAAACATGGGCAGACATAGCTGCACCTGAATTCTGTCTCTCATTTTCCAACTGTAACCTCTGGCAATTGCCAAAACTCTCTGACCCTCAGGTTTTTTACTTATAAAATGAGGGATGTTAATACCTACCTCATAGGATTGTTCTCAACTTCGAGATAGTAGAAGTAAAGTGACTGACATATAGACTCAATACATGGATGTCATAAAACACAAAAATAAATGTAAGAACTAGAGAGTATGCATCTGAAAAGTCTGCCCAATGCTTTTTGTGTTGAATCTGTAAATATTTTCATGTCTGTAACTTGTCTTTGGTGGTAAAACCTGGGGTACTAATGTTTCAGCCAGAGAAAAATAGAAGGCTTTCTCAGGAGTAGGAAATCCTGTGACCAGAGCAGGAATTTGGCTTCCAAGAAACCACATTTTTCAGGTCCTCCTAGCTGTGATTATTCCTCTCTCTCTCTCTCTCCTTTGCCCCTTAAGCTCTCTCCTTCCCTCTTCCATCACTTCTTAACTTGTTCCCATCTCTTAAAGTGGATCTAACAGCAATACACAGCCCATTTTCTGCATTCTTCCAAAATTCAGTTACAGCATTGGTTTAGCTGAGGGTTAGATGCAGAACCAACGTAAAACTGTGTGACTCAGTCAGGACAGCCTGCTGATAGCCTTCTGTGTGAGCAGACTTGCACTTAAATTTCTACAGGGAGGACACTGGGGATGGGAAGGATGGGATGAATTGTGAAGACTTTGCCAAAGGTAACTGGCATGGGCTTTGTGACTATTCACTCACTAGGAAAAAGGGAGAAATAGAAAAAAATTACTTTGAGGCTTTCAGTCTGCATAATTACAGATAATACTTTTAACTGGAATAGGAAAAACTGGTGAGAAAGAGTCTTAGTAGAAAATTGAGGTAACAGCAAGATAGTCAAGTTGAAAATAGTTAACAATAGTTAACATAGTTAACAATAGTTATAGCCATAGTTAACAATACCGTATTGTACCCTTAAAAATTTGTTAAGAGGGCAGATCTCATGTTAAGTGTTCTTTCCATAATGAGTAATTTTTAAGGATACCAAACAATTAGAAATGTAGTACTTTTGATGTAAATCCTATAAATTTTATAGCTCATATATATCTTAATGTCATTACCCTAATGACTCCCCACTGTCATTTACTTCCATCCAAGCCCTGAGCATCTTTTTCTGATAATTCTGCAACAGCCTCCTAATGGGTCTCCTCACAAGCTCTGCCACCTGTGAGCTGTGTGAACTTGGACAGGTTACATAATATGAGATATTGGTATATCTCACTTCCCACACTTATAAATTGGGCATCAAAATAGTACCTAATTGATAGGGTTTGTGTGAGATGCATATTAGTTAATATATGGAAAGCACTTACAACAGTGCCTGGCCCATACTGAGTGTAGTTTTAGCTATTTTTAAATTATAACAATTATTATTACTCACTGTCACCCAAATTCGAATATAATCACAGGTTGTAATGGAACCCTGGCTCTCCATGCCTTCTTGTTGCTCTAAGAATAGAGGTGAAA